CTCTTTTCAAAGCTTGTCTCAAATCAAGAATGGCCGCTCATAATTTAGAGAAATAACGTTAGATCATTTTTTTCTGAATATGAGTTCTTGTCAATACTGTATTGTTTTCTACGGAACGATTTTAGCCAAATAGTTTGTCTCTTACCTGTACTAAAAAGCGTAGAAGAAGAAGTCGCCTTTGAACCGCCCTTGTCTCCCAACACACATCGCCATCTTGTCTTCTCGAAGATTCACCGGAGCGGGAACATCCGCATTTTCTCCTCGATACATCACGAGAACGGCATAATTCTACCGTGAAAAGTTCCCAACATTGTACTCCACACTTTAGAAAGACATTCCTCCGATAAAAACTCGAGAAAGTACCCTGAAAGTTGCACAAAAATAACATCTCGGAGAATTCTCGTCCTGCCAAACCGCCATTTTGAAGGAACCATGCTCAATGTTTTTACACAGGTGTGCAAGACAGCCTTGTCTAATTAATGTGGTGCTGCTGATCTAATTACGAAGAGAAATTCAATCTTAAAGAAAATGAAAAATATACATATATACAATTCCTATTACACACAAAGTTTTCACGAATAGCGTTTTGGATGTTGGATGCAGGACTGAGGTTCTTGGTTCGAATTCATAGCAAGTGGCCCCAACGTTGAATGTTTATTCTCACGATAAATAAATGGCGGGAAAGCCTTCTTAAGATCCCTGGATAGAACATAATCTGTATGCGCTCATGTTGGGAGGCTAAATATTTTCCTAGCTTCCAGTTTCTGTTACAAACCGCGTCCTTAACATATAGTGGCAGATGGTTTGTGACGGAAACGGGCAGCTAGGAAAACGTTACCATTTAGCCTCCCAACATCTGCTTGAATATTAGATAGCCCCATAGGGGGAATAGAACATGGTGTTGGTGTTAGCCAGCAGAAGAAAATCGTCCTTGAGCCGAGGATCTCAGGAGCACACTTCAATGTTGTTATTTGACAGGATAACGGCAATAAGAATACGTCAGACATTAATTTTGCAAAAAAAAAGTAAAACCAGGGGAATTTTTATGGGGAATTCTTATAGGAGGTGAAACTTATCGCTTTTCAAAGTCTCCTATGGGGAAGACCCCAGCGTAGAATATACATAACACCATATCATCACAATGAGAAAGAAGCCGACTAAAGTACCTTCATAAATAGATAGAAATTCTACCCCTTCCACCCCTTCAAAAGCTCCTGAATGGAATCACCCAAGCTATATGGACCAGTAAACTTAAAACCTGTTTTCCTGGTCACCTCATTACTTCTCTCTCTCTCTCTCTCTTAAAATTAGGTCAGACAATAACATTTTCTGAGGGGAAAATTTGCACTATCCAACATGAGACTCGCTCGGTATTTCGTACTTTGTACAATGATCATTGTTGTAGCTACAAACCAAGAGGTAGAAGACAGACTATCTGAGCTGAACGAAGACCTACCAGAACACAAGCAGGTGTCTTTCCACGTTGCTATAGAAATACCGAACAGATACGCAGAATGCTTCTATCAGTATGTGGGAGAGAACGCCAAGCTGTACGTTGAATTCAAGGTAAGATATGCAACATTTTGAACCATTTGCAAAGCTAGAGAAAACAGTTTTTATCCTCCGTACATTTGCTAGCAACTATCCTTCTCCCAATGTTTGACGTTTATCTGTCTTAAACTTATAATTATTAACCATAATTGCATCACCAAGACACTGTGCTTTGTACAGGTATTAAAGGGATACAACACGGATCAAAACATTGTGATGAAAATATTCGACCCAAATGGAGAAGAATTCGCAGAGCGGATAGGTAATTCCGGGGAAGCAGTGCGGGATCTTGGAGAAGGTGACAGACTCAACAGTAAGTAAGCTGGCAATGTTTTTATCTACTCGAACATTTATGCACACTAGAAACAATTGGGGGCAAATGTGCACTTCCTGTAGCAGCTCTACCAGGCTTCGGGAAGCGGCTGCAAAGTGTAGAAATTGGCCATGTAATGTGCTAGGGGAGTTGGTCCACGCTAAGTAAGAGAAGAGTTTGCCGCTCTCGAAAACTGTTTTTATTCTAGTTAACATTATGGTCTATTTTGGCTAAATGCACATGTTAACAAATGTGGTCTATAGGGTATAAAACATGGAGTATTGAACACTGAAACGCTACATTCTCGTGCTAAAATTGTATATATTACAACAATACTATTTATCATATGCTGTTAATCACCGCTTCCTCTCTCCTCTCTTCTTATCAAAGCACCGGGCATCTTTAAGATTTGTTTCTACAACTTGGACAACATCTTCGCGCGGCTTGTAGACATCAGTGTGCGTGTGAAGAGTGTGAACTGGCTGGAGTACAGGGATAACCTACCGGAGGACACGTTACAGGACCTGGATAAAACTCTCATCATGGTAACTTCACTTACAAATTGTTAGAGCTACTTACGGATAAACCTTGTTAAATACAACTACTTTCTGATGACACCACATTTTGCCACTTGGAAGATCATAAATTTAAGTGTAAATCTACGAAGAAAATGATTCTTCTGATAATTTCTAAGTTAAGTGTAGATGATAAGAACAAGACCAAGTCACGGTCCATGTTTTGCTTCTAGATTAAATGAAGCATCGTACAAACTATGTCGGCAACTCAACAAGATCTGTAGACTACAGATGTGTATTAGATCGCTGTACATGCATGACAGCATGGAATTTGCGCTACATAGAAAAACAAACAAGCAAGACAACACCATTGTTTGTTAATTGTTTCTGTGTTGCTAGTTGTAGATAAACCCTGTGTCGTTTGACCAAATTTCTAGAAAATTCAATCAAACACATGTTGTTCTTGTTGTTTTCATGTACCAGGAGTCCCTGGACAGACTGGATGAGTCCGTCAGCTGGGTAAAACTACAGACCATGAGAAACAAAGTTCGTCTGTACGCAGACTTCCTGACCGTCAAGTCCAACCTGAGCTATGTAGACAACCTGGGCCTGATGAGCTGTCTGGCCATCATAGGATCAGGCATGCTGCAGGTCTACTTCGTCAGGAAACTGTTCGAGACGAAACATGTCCGCGGGACAACCAACAAGGCGTGATGGAAGGAAGGAGGGAGGGAGGGAAGGATGGAGGGAAGAAGGAAGGAAGGGAGGATGGATGGATGGATGGATGGAGAGATGTTTGGAAGGGAGGAAGGGAGGAAGGAGGGAAAGAAGAATGAATGTATGGATGGAATGAAGGAGGGAAGGATGGAATGGAGGAAGGATGGAATGGAGGAAGGAAGGATGGATGGATGGATGGATGGATGGAGAGATGTTTGGCAAGGGAAGAGAGGAAGGAAGGACGGATGGAAGGAAGGGAGAAAGGAAAGGAGGGAGGGAAGGATGGAGGGAAGGAAGGAAGGAGGGAAGGATGGATGGATGGAGGGAAAGAAGGAAGGAAGGATGGATGGATGGAATGAAGGAGGGAAGGAAGGATGGATGGAGAGATGTTTGGAAGGGAGGAAGGAAGGAAAGAAGGATGAATGTATGGATGGATGGAATGAAGGAGGGAAGGATGGAATGGAGGAAGGATGGATGGATGGATGTTTGGCAAGGGAAGGGAGGAAGGAAGGACGGATGGAAGTGATAGAGGAAGGGGAGATGGATGGAACGAAGGATGGATGGGTGAGTGGATGAAAGGATGGATGGAAGGAAGGCAGGAAGGAACGAAAGAAAGAAAGAAGGAAGGATGTTTATATCATTTGATAATTTACTTATGTGTTTGTACGGACCGTTTGCAAGTAATTTGCTGAAAACATGCCTGTATCTGCGTGTTTTTTGCCGTGAAGGTGTATGTGTGTATAATATACATAAGTCTGTGAATGGATTATGTCATTAAATTCTATTTGTCTGTAATAAGCATATGCATCTGCGTATTTTTCAACTAATTTATAAAAAAAGGATGCACATGCATTACTGCCTAGGTATCGGTTTTGGGTCCAAATGTAGGGAAATCAAGCCATCACGTATTCAAGTAACGTCAAAAGTCATATCAGAAAAAGGTGTATTTAGTACCCACCATTAGTCATGATGCTGTAATTACAAACGTTTAATGATCTCGTAAGTAACACAAAACCCAAATGTGGTTGTAATTTACACAAAAGCGAACAGGCGGCGCTGTTAGATATAGGCGAATGATGATATATGGTAACCAAAATTACTAGTACAGTTGTATTTCACACCTGGTACTAGCTTTGTCATGATAAACTATTCGTGGTATCTTTTGTAGATGGGAACTTGAATAGTGACAAAATATGACGCCTTACGAGTGTGTTTAAAAGTTCGAAACACAGCTAGCCATCACCCATGTTTGTTTACATTCTGGTACGTTAGTTTGTGGTGGCACCACAAACTGAGGACGCCTCGTGTGGACTGTTCAAGCTCCAACCATAAATATCAGAAATATGAGAGACAATTGCATAAATATGTTCCAAAGTGGAATTTAATTACATTCACACGACTATTCTTTTTTCAATAAAAAGGCTTCAATTTTTGTGAAAAATGTTACATGTTGCTCCTTTAAATAGTCTGTGGACCAACAAAACCGGTTTTGGCTGTCACTCGACCGGGTCGCTCTTCTTCCAAGTAGTTCAGACAATTTCAGCTTTAGTATTCTGTAGTACTCGAGCTGTAGACACATCCGACATGACACTCGCTCAGTTTTTTGTATTATGCGCGATAATTTCTATCGGTGCTGGAGATAAAGAGTTGGAGTTGGCAGCGAAACTAGATGAGTATGCCCATTCAGACGACAGGGAAGTGTTCTTCCATGTAGCCATCGAGATTCCTGCCAGAAAAATAGAATGTTTCTACCAACATGTGGGAGAAGATGCCAAAATGGAGGTCAGCTTCGAGGTAAGAATACGACATTTTTTTTCAAACATTTGTAAATCGAGATAAAGTACGAATCTCGTGTGTTAAAATTAGCCTATACCAGGCTTGGAGGAGCAGCTGGAAAGAGTGAAATTTGCCAGATAAATAAATTGTATGCCAGAGGAGTTGGTCCATGCTAAGCGAGAACAGTTTGTTAGTCTCTAGCTGCACCTGGACGATATCTTTTTCACCTCTAACTATTTCGATCTCCTAACCCTTAGCGTCTTGGTAACTACCATTGAAAATCTGTCCCTTTCTGTGTGTCTGTGCAGCTTCTGAAGGATACAGGCACTGACGAAAAAGTTGTGGTGAAAATGTGGGATCCAAGCGGCACAGAAATAGAGAGAAGAGTGGTTACTTCTGATGGAAGCAGTATTGAGCCAGACGGAAACAGTAAGTGGTGTTTAATGCTTCTCATCATCATAGCGATTATGCAAGACAACTTGAAGTACGCGATGCACTCCCCAGCCTATATCATGTGTTCCAATGGTATAACCCTAAAATGCTGTGTTCCAATGGTATAACACATGGACCCATATGTTAACATCATAAACTGACAGACAACAGAAGTAATTGGGCTATGGCAAGCACAGGTCATGCGTTTACAAACGCACATCTATAGACATCTAACACAAAAAAATAGTAAATTTGGGTTCCTCTTGCTACTTGCTAACTATGTAGATCAGGAGGATGTATGATTAGTTAAAGTTGTTTTTTAAGTCATAAAGAAAAATTCTCTTTACTGTTTTGAATAGTATCACTTAAAAGTGAAAAAAATACTTACTAAATAACTAGAAAGAATATGCCATTGTGTGCCAAAAACATGAGTTTTAATGTAGAACCTACGGAGGAATTGTGATGAGCTATTTTGTGTATGATTTAGTGTCGACAACATAAACTGTCAAATCAGATCTCAGCCACCTACCGACCTTCTTCCATACTGCACCAACACTCCTAAATTTATTTCCCATGTTATGAACATCACAGTTTTAGATACTACTAGTTAGCTCGATAAGAACTGGTGTAGATTTTAGCTTGTTGCGAATTGAAACTGAAGGAATTTTTTGCTGAAGACAGCACGCAAAGCACGATAATTCTATATTTCTCTATATACATAAAATGTAGTTATAAAATGTAGTTCAAAGTCTTGGGTTATATTGTAGTTACTAATATTTGTCCTTGCCCCAGTCCCAGGCACCTACAAGATTTGTTTCTACAATCTGAACAAACTGTTCGCGCGGCTGGTGGACGTCAGCCTGACGGTAACCAATGTGAACTGGCTGGAGAACATAGAGGCACTACCGGAGGCACTGCTAGAGGACCTGGACAAAACTCATATGACGGTAAGTATACTAGTAACTACCATGGAACATTTCGGATACTCCTTTCATGGTTAATAATAATAATAATAGTAACTCTCTATAGAACCATGCACCACATGAAGTAATTGTTAAAGAATAGCCTCTACCAGGCTTCGGGAGGCGGCTGGAAAGAGTAGAAATTGGCCAAATAGAGAGAGATAACACGCCAGGGGTTACATAGAGTAGCGGACCAACTCCCACGGCATGATATCTCTCTATATGGACAATTTTCTTCTCTTTCCAGCCGCCTCCCGAAGCCAGGTAGAGGCTAGTTAAAGAAGCATTATGTGGCATAAGAACGATACAAAATGTGCCATTCAGGAAGCATTTTGGGAAGTGGAGCAAGGTTGGCTGGGTCGGCTGGTGTTCGGCTGCGCCAAAAGAAAGCTAGTTTCAAAATGTTTAAAACATTCGGGTGTTGACGGGAGGTTCGTTCATGGTTGTCTTGTGGTTTACTGGTGTTCGGAAGTAGTCCAGGGCCTTGTTGGCAGCCAAATTTGACTCAAATCTAACACAAATCGACTCATATCGAAAGATAGGCGTGGGCAGACTGCTCTCCAACTTCAGTCAACCTTGGTCGGCTGGTGTTCAGGGGAAGGTTCTGATTGTTTCAAATGGGCTTTAGACAACTCCTAGTCTTTTTTTTACTTTCTAACAGGAATCCCTAGGTAAACTGCGCACACTCTTCACACTGGTGCGTCTGCAAGTTGAGGTGGTCAAGCGGCGCATGTTCTCAGACTTCCTGACCGTGCAGTCCAACCTCACGTACGTGGACCGGCTGGGGTTCATGAGCTGCGTGGCGATCATAGGGTCAGGCATGCTGCAGGTCTTCTTCGTCAGGAGGATGTTTGAGACACCCAACGTCCGAGGCACGAAAAACAAGACATGATAGAAGGAATGTTGATGTAACGTAGGCTAGAGTAACAGTGGTGGCAGCGGGGGTGGTAGGAGGGATGCTAGTACACACAACTTACGCAAGTGATGATTTTCGAAATACTCAATATTTTGTCAATTGCTTACGGCATATTCATCCATTATGCAGCACTAAATGATACCTACATATTTGTGCTCAGCTGTGATATAAGATAAATACAGACGTGGTTAAATATCATATAATTATGAGGAAAATATTGAATACATTGCAAGGTTAGTGATTTAAAACATGCATGTATAACCAAGAAATAACTATGTTATGTACGTTTTATCACATGTTTGATAACGCTCTTATATCAGTAACTTTGCAAACATGTTGCCATTTTATCTGCTACAAGACATGTACTGTGAGTTGAAGCGATACCATAAGAATAATGTTTTCATATTGAATGATGAGAAGAGTTGTATGATTCTTTTAAAAGTAAACCGGAATAAACGTCATCGTTGGTACTTAATGTTGAATGTACATTGCTCTTTTGCAATAAACCCTGCCAAATTCAGCCACAAATATTTCTAGACAAATTTCCTTCCACTATCTCACTGAAAGTTGTCAAGAAGCAAGCAACAATATCTATAAATCGGTTCCATAGTAAAGCAGCTCTTATTGACATATCATTCATGATTGCACGCTCAAATTTGCCAGTATATTCCCCAGCCTATACCACTGCACCTTAGATCAATAAAACGACGTGTTTCGATATTATAACCCATAGGTTGACATCATGAACTAAGTGTAGTTATCATTGCAACTTTAAATTTGCCGCCTAAAATGTGCAAATGACACACCTGTGCAACTAGACCTGTCAGGTAGGTTCAGTTTTACCTGTGCGCTGACCCGTTAAGGTATGACCCTCACCAGTAGTGTACACTTAAGGAAGGCGTGTCTTCCGGGCACGTACACACCTGAAACATGAAGGGCGTTACAGTCCAATTTCTGGTCCTCTCCTTAACCTGTGAGTGTCTAGTCTCTGCGTGGGATGAAGACCAAGAGTTTGACTCAAATGCTCTACCAGGAGTGGAGTCTGACTTCTCCCTGTCCATAGGCACTTCCAAACCCGAATGTTTCTATCAGTTCGTGGGAGAAAACGCGACACTGCACGCTAACTTCCAGGTAAGACACGGTTGAGCTATTCACAATCATGCTACATACATGTTTTCTACATGCTATATGCTAGAAGATATGGAATAGGTTTTTAATACGTACATGATCATTTATATCGGGCAATTACCCAGCCACAAGCCACCACAACACGATATGTACTTACATGTACAATAACAACTAGCCCTAGTTTTCACGTACATGTATTCACGTCAATATAGCCATCATATAGCCATCATATAGCGCCATCTTGATTCTGATAATTGCGTCCTATAGTATATAGTGACAAAATGACCTTGTGGCCTTTTTGTGGTCCAAAAATAGACGGACAATAGAAAGACAAAAGTTGGACTGAAAAAAAAAATGAATGATTGCAAGAGAAGGAGACTATCAGAATTTTTCCTATTATTGCTTGCATTCATCACTTATATGATATTTATCTTAATTTACAGGTGTTGAGGACCGATGGAACTGATAAGAAGGTTATTTTCACGGTCCACGATCCGAAGAAAACGTTACTGAACTTCACTCAGGCTGAGAGTATGGACAAGTTTGAGTACGACATGAAGAAACAAGACGTCCCAGGTACATTCTCTTGGTGCTGGTATCAGCTACATATTTATCTTAAACAGTTACTGCTACGATTTTCCCAAGTTTTCATATAAATAGAAGACCACCGAAAGTCTTCATTTCTATAAAGATCACAAAACACACTAGTTATGCAGAACGCGTGCGTTTGGGACTATGTCTTCAAAGATTTTTTTTCGAAGAAGTCAAACCTCATAATAGCGAATGTAACACTTAATAGTTGACTAAACAAACAGCAGTTTTATTGTCTTTGACAGTGTACATTCGGGCAAGATTTTGCAAGCAAATAGAATTAAATTTGAAATATTTGTTTCTCTATTACATGTCAGGCAGCAGTGAGGCCAGTATTCAAATTAAATATATACTTAAGCCATTATAGTAGTATCTGAGCTCACCTAAATGTACATCATGTTTGCACAGGTACCTTCAGTATCTGCCTGTCTAACCCCAGTAAGCTGTACAACAAGCTGGTGTACCTGTACGTGGCCGTGTACCGTCTGGAGGACTGGGAGAAGTACAGACAAATACAGTCTCCTCAGGAGATGGAAGCCATGGGACTGGGACAAATCACTGTGAGTTATGCCTTCTGTTATTAGAGCGATATCATTGCCAAAATTGCGGATTTTGTATCAGTGCCATGGAAAAAAATTAGACAAAACAGAGTTCTAGGATCTCATACCTTCGCCACATAATGTTTACCTTTACGGCTGACTAATTATACATTTCCTACGGTGATTATTTGTGCAAATAAGATCCTCATTTGCATGGATAAAATTAGTTTATCATATTCTCTACCCAGTGACAGTCTTATGTAACAAAGAAGGCTATTCTAGCATTTTATCATAATTTATGCAAATGAGGTCCTGATTTGAATACGTTATGTTAAATGGTGTTCATTTCCATGTATGAAGTTCTTGGCAGTTACCACTTTGAAACTATAGCATTTTCTCAGTAATTATGCAAATTAGGTCTGCATTTACATAACTCATTGCAACTTCACATTTTTTATTACACAGACTTCGCTGAACCATGTGGCTGACAATGTTAAAGACATCGGTTACATCACCAAAATCATCAAGCTGCACAAACTAGTGGACTTCTATACCGTGTCCTCCAGCCTGAACTACGTGACCAGGATGGGGCTGTGTAACTGTGTATTGATAGTCGGCTCAGGACTGTTGCAGGTTTACTTCGTACGGAAATTATTTGCATCACACAGTGTGAGAGGAACGTCTGCTTCGGCTTAAGGGAGATTAGGATTACGTAGAGAAGATTAAGATTACGCAAGGGGGATTCAAGTTACGTCGACGTCTTCATTATCATTCTATATGCAGCCTATATAAGGAATTCAGTTCATTCCTATTCCATACTAGCCACCCAGTCTTGTATTAGTTAGGATAGCCTTATGGACATGTAGTTAATATGTACTAGTAGATGCCATACTTTATATCCTGTATGTACAACTGTTGTGCAATAAAGTTATATCTTTATGTAATCGTTGATAAATTAGTTTTGCTAAATGGTGTGAGAAAGAATCATTGACGCTGTACAGTATAATCATATTTCAAAAGGGATGGTATGTATCAAAATATACGTTTTCTAAGCATAGATTTTTCACTGCTGTAATATACTTCTCTCATGAAAATGTACATTTTCACTGCTGTTGTTTTAATTGTGTGATAACGTACTATCAGAAAGTTGGCGTTAGATTAAGGCCTTCGTATCCTTCCCCAATACCTCTGTATGTCATAGTACGACGCTGAACTTTATTCCAACACAAATGGACCACAGGGATCATATTTTCAACGACCACTATCTGGTATGTCTATAATTCTGTAGATTAAACGATGCTTACATGTTTTGGCGCTTTGCCACGTAGCCTTTAAAAACAAGAAAAACCTGTCAGCTGATGTCAAAGGGCACAGAAAAATGGGCACTCAGTGTAGCAAAAAGCCTCTTATGTTTGTGTTTGTTGAGCACATTTAATTCCCTTACAAAGATCATCTCAATTTCAAGCCATTATCAGAAATGTTGACCGTGAGGTTACTGATAATGACCGTGGTGTTGGCCCGCGCCAGTGCCCGGGATTTGTTCGACCTGACGGGCGAGGTGTACTCAGACCTGTCGGTAGTGGTACGGAGACGGGGGAAGGAGTGTTTCTACCAGCCGGTCGACGACGACGTAGAAACCATGTATATCCAGTACACGGTGAGTGTGAGTGATAGCACGTCGGCAGAACTGCACCTACCTGCGCGAAACCCGTAGTGCATTGTACATAGCACTTCGGCAGAACATCTCATATCAGGTCGTATTCGCATATATAAGGTCAACATTCCGTCTATAGTTTCCAAATATTGTGTCTGAAAAAATACCGTCTGCAACAGGGAAAATTCTGACGCAACGTTGACCAAAAATCCAACGAAAACCGTGAAAAATACTAGTAGGGGGGTTTGCGCAGGCGCAGTACGATCTGCCGACGTGCTGTGAGTGATGACGTATCAAATATGTGACAGCGTTAAAGACGTAATATTGTTCCTTATAGCTTTTCAAAAACTTCGGCAGCAAGTGATGGAACAACCAAATAACGTTACTACTATGTAAACCCTATGTAAAATAAGGTATGTAGCGTGAAGGCTACGATTACATAACATCGCCATATTCAATATATTGAAAGAAACATCAGACATTTATCTTGTATTGTTGTAAGGCCACAGCAAGTAGTTTTTATAGATGACATCAGCGCGCGCATTAATTTTCGCCTGATTTTGGGAAAAAAAAACACAAGAAACTTTGTTGCCCTCTGACAGTGGTCAACATGCCGAAATGGGCAAAGATGTCTGTTGCCCGCCCGCTCGCATTAGATTTGGAGTCTGCGGAGGATGTCATCCATACAATTTACTTGCTGTGGCCTAATTTAAATATACTTGTTAAGTGAACTGATGTAGTGTTGTATGTTGAACCTATAGGCCTTGAGGGAGGACATACTGGATGAACTACAATTCATAGTCAAAGACCCAGAGGGGAAGGTTCTAAAACAAACGACTGGCGAGTCGAACAGTTTTGATTTGGACTTTACTGAAGATCCCCACCAGAGAGGTAAATTAATTCGCACCGTAGCCGACAAGTACACACCTGCGTCGGTGTACGTACCTGTCGGCCACGGTAAATTAGAGAAAAATGTCGTTTCCAATAATAATAGAGATGCTGTCTTATCTCGTAGTCTAAGATTTTATTCACTTAAACACAGAATAGAGGTTGTTCATCGTTGATTAATTTTATACCGCATATACAAGCCTACTGTCATCAACCTTGCTAATAACCCCCCCCCCCCTCCAGGGACATATTCCATCTGTTTCTTCAACAATCACATCATCAAAGACATCATCGTGTATCTGGAGATGGAGGTTTGGAAAGAAGACGCCTTTACTGGGGATTATGAAGATGACACTGAAATTGATGCTGAGATAGCTTTAGAATCCGTTTCGGTGAGTTTTTAGAAAGTAGTGTGCTGGTAGTTATAAAATGTTTATCTGTAAGAATTGACAGATGCCATTGCTAAGATTGTGTATCTTATAAGGGTGTCGCATGTCCATAATGTATACTTGGCCAAGACAAATAACATACCATTGTGTACTCTCCAAGCAGAGGTTTGGGGTTCTTATTTTTGACGTGTTTTATGCATTTTTATTGGACTCTCTTTTTGTACTGGAATTCTTTTCGCCACCCTAACCTGGAGTGGTAACTGTCTGGCAAATAGATACTGTTTTGCCAATTTGATACTGTCTTTGCAGCCAGCCTAAAGCTCTACTTGGAGAATTACTGAATCCTATAATTAGTAAATACAAACAATATGTACCTTTAAAGGCATCCAATGCGATTTCAGGGCAGCAAAACTGGAAATGTCCTGAATAAGGCAATCTTTGTGATATTGGCACATACTGCTTCACATTAGCTAAACATTAGGTAGGTAGGTAGCACATTTGAATCAGCATTTCATACTTTGGGCATTTAAAACTGCAGAAACAAGCCCCAAGATGAGTCCTTTTGTTTTCTGGGTGGTACCCTAAAATCAGCCCAGGGCCATTCCATTAACTATTTTCCGTCAGACGTTTTGAAATTTTTGCTCCATGAGGGTCACAATACATTGGGATAGTGTTGTTTCAACTTAAGTAACTAAGTAACTATAATATTGACTTTTGAAAAATCGGGTTTCCAAGCCCTAAAAACTGCACTGGGTGCCTTTAATTGGACAAATATTTTTCTCTTTTCCACACAGGATTCTCTGAAGACAGTGGCAGAGAATGTAAAATCCATGGACTTACATACTAAGAAAATTTCCCAACGATATCGCCGGGACTCGTTCGAGCTAACTTACAGCAATTCTTACGTCAACAACGTCGGAATATTAACGTGCGCGATGATTATATGCGCGGGACTGTTCCAAGTGTATTTTATAAGAAATCTGTTTCACACATAAAAAGTTCATGGTATCCAGAGTCCTACATAAATGAATGCTTGATTTTTCTTCCCTACGTTTTGTAGGTTTGGTAATTTGAAACATTAAAATGAATTCTATACGGCGTCTAAAAAGTTTTTGTGAGTTTTCAAAGTAATCTTGTAAACTGTAACTGTAACTTGTTCACTGTTTATACGGATACACCTATGCGATAATTTGATTTGTATTATAGGTTTTGAAATAAGTCAACCCACAATAAATTTTGCTTGTTCACACTAACAATGTTTTATATATTCAATGCACATAGGAATTCATAGTTGTTAAAGCAACACAGGATTTGGTACACATATCCAGCCCTGCATTTGCAGTATTGTACTATGTTTCACTGTCTGTTGTTTCAGTCCTTCAAATTTTAAAACAACAAATACTGTCTCTATCTGCAAGTCACTGTATTTGTAATTCCCGCCAGGTCATTCCAGGCAAGCCCTTTGACCTCAGTCACACATTTGAGAAGCAGAAAAACTAGAAAAGCGAGCAAGAGTTAGAGGTCAAACCATTCATTCGCAACGATGTTTCGGCGTTGCGCATTGTAAACATTGTTTTACTCTCATTTCTGAGTCAATACAGCTTGTATTTTAGATAGCAAGCCTTACCTACAATTTCTACCAAGATGTTGGCCGGTTGTGTACTTGTTCTAGTTCTTGTGACGTCTTCTGTAGCCTACAGGGATCAAGACGAGTATGACAGGAACAGCTTGAGAGAAACGTTCACTGATTTCTCAATCGAGATTCCAGGCAATTCGAAGGAATGTTTTTACCAGGAGTTGGACGAAAGGGCTCTGGGGATGTATCTACAATACATTGTGAGTATCATACAATTTTGTAACTAAAATAGAGAGGTATGCTGTCTATGGGTGTGACCTTGCTACTGGATTTGTGTTGTGTATACTCGTATGACGTCACAAGGACGTTACACTTTGAGGAGAAGGACATGTTTTCAAAGCAACTTTTACCAGATCATACATGGTGCACGTGCCTTAGCCTCTACCAGGCTTCGAGAAGCGGCTGGAAAGAATAAAAACTGTCAAAATAGACAGATGATATTCCAGGGGAGTTGGTTCGCGCTAGAGTAAGGTTTGCCGATCCCGAAACTTTTGGCGAATTTCTACTATTTCCAGCCGCTTCCTGAAGCCTGGTAGAGGCTAGTGGTGTCTAATATAAGAATACAGACGATATGGACAATCAGCATTGTTAAATGATGTAGATTAACCATGTTAGACCTTAAGTTTAAATTGTAATTTCCAACACAAAGAATTGGGCCCACATTTTCTTCGACTGTGCAACTCCAGTTTTTAACTTTGCAAGTCCAATTCTTTATGTTGGAAATTACAGTTTAAACTTATGGCATAACCAACACAGATTATGACGTCTACCAACACAGAACTTTTAATATAAGATTAACCATATTTTATTTGCTTATACACCTACACCCAAAGGTTTTGTATCAAAAGAACCAGGACGATCTACACCTTACAGTCAGCGGTCCGGACGGAAAACGCTTGCTGCATGCTTTTGGAGAATACGACGACTTCCAAGTAAAATTCACTGACAGTGCTAGTGAAGAGAGAGGTAACTGTGCTATACACGTACCTTACAACTGTGGTTCCTGTTGTTACAGTAGTATATTTTAGATGAAGATGTTTTTGTTGTTGAAATATATCTAATCGTGTTTTAATACACAATCACCAATTGTGGTTCCCATTGTAGTATATTTCAGATGGAGATGTTTCTGTTATTAAAACATACCTAATCACGTTCAATAGACAACCACCAATAATGCAAAAGCAGTTTTATCTAACTTGTTGACTGGCCCATGGTGTAACGGCCTCAAAATCAATTTCAAATGGAGGCTCTTGATTGGTCAACTTTGCCTCTATTTTTCAGAATGCCTGTTCTCTTTCTTACTCCAGGCACCTATGAAATGTGCTTCGAGAACCAACATCTACTAGAAGAGACGGTAGTGTACGTTGAAATGTATGTTGAGTACGAGAGTATGTGGGGTATGATACTGGCCAGCGCTCATCATGACAAGTTGCGCAATGTTACGGTATGTACATGCGGTTCCTTGATATACTGGATGTTTTACGTGGAATTGTTTGGAAAATATACAGAACTTTCCATGTAAGGAAACGAATCCCTGTACACTAGAGAATAACCCTTCTATGTATTGCCCACTGCATGAAATTTTTTCAAACATATGGCATTTCATAATATGTACATGTACATGTTTAAAGGTAAAACGTTTGTTCCAACAAAAAAGAAAAAATGTTCTGGCCTAGACCAGTCACTCTGGTCTTCTTCAATAGACTGACCCAGTGATGCTTGTCACGTGACCTCTATGAGGTGTGACGTCAACACTGGGTCAAAGCTCCATAGCTAGGTGAGAACATTTCTCTTTTCAAAACTTTACGGTACTGGAACAAATGTTTTGCCTTTAGATATGTAACTACTAACACAGATGAACTCTCATGATGTACATGTGCATGTCCATTAGTTATGGCAGGACCCCTCACTAATGATCTTGACATATTTTTCTACAGACCTCCTTGAAGAAGATATCAGACAGAGTACAGAGAATGGATCTCCACGCCGGGCTGATCTCCCAGTGGTACCATAAAGACTCCCTCACGTTAAAGTTTAGCAACAAGAACATCGACAACTTCGGCATGTTGATCTGTGCGCTGATTATCGGTTCTGGACTGCTGCAGGCGTTTTTTATCAAGAAACTGTTTCTCCGCGCACAGGAGGAGTTAAGGAGCGACCCGCCTGTACTGTCTGAACAACCCAGAAAGGCGTCCAATTCCAGATTAGCCTAGCTAGCTATATAATAGAATTCACAAAGCAATCAGTTCTAGTAGATGGGTGCAGCAAAATGTATTTTCTAGCGGACCATTTCATCTCTCAATTTGGACAATTTCTACTCTTTCAAACCGCCTCCCGAGGCCTGCTAGAGGCTTCAAACTGATGGTATCATATCTCACTAACACACTGTAGTGATTGTGTACACTACAATCATCAATTTGCTTATGAGTCATTCTATGAAAGGAAGAAGGAATTTCATATTGGGTTTAACTAAGAGAAATTGCTACCTTTAACTGACGGTTACTCGAATACAGAGTGATAAAAGCTGTTTTGTATTTCATATTTAAAAGCTTCATCATTAAAATGTTACATAGAAAACTACAAAGAAGTTTACTTTAAGGTGTGTTGCCTAGAGTTTAATCGGAAGTCCACCCTCCTGTAATAAAAGACACCAGGTAAGAACACAATCAGTGTTCTGTTGTTTTGTTTTGTTTTGTTTTGTTTAGAGATATAACGTTAGCACAGTCTGTATTATGTTTATCACCCACAAGAGCAATGCCCGGTCACTGCAGCAGCAAATTAAATACACATTATATAAGCCAGATGACGTAATGGATAGTTGCATTTTATGATCTAAACCCTGACCACAACAGCATCCAAATGTTTCATGTCAAATTAGATTAGTAAATACTCGTGACCCAATGCAAAGCTTAGCTACAGCTATTTAAATATTTACTAGACACTTCCCGGGGCTCCCATTATCTTGGACCTGTCATTTACTAATGATATTAGTGACAACCAAGATACTGAGTGATCTTTTATAATGAGTCTAAACGTAAAACGTTTACAGCGTGCTACAAAAACGCCATCCGTTGAAACATTTCTTAAAACATTTCTAAACCGTAGCAGACTTCTGTCTATAAAAAAATCATGTTTATATTTGTAGCATTTCCATATGTACAGTTGGAATACATTTCCAAAACACGTGCACCTTCCATGTGTTACTAGCATCTGTGCTAGCATATTAACGGTCGTGCATTTGGGCAGTAATAGCTAATGGCTATGTCAAACATAGGAAGTAAACAAAGCATGGGGTCAGCCTATTGAACTCGATGTATGACGATCAACGGATTTAGATTTTTGCAAGTCATATCCTGTCTTTTATCCTGTCGACTGGGTATGATATGGCAACATTCTCTCTTTTAAACTTAAACTTAAACCTAACATCATGTAGCCATTGTACCTTGAGGCAAACAACGACCCACTGGCTGAAATAGGAGGATTTTACCGATACGGGCCTACTTCGAAGCTGGTAAGACACAATGAGTGCAGGCACTGCGTCTTCGTACTTTTCCGATGGGGAAAAGGCCCTGAGAAACGTACTTACAGCTCTCGGGTCGACATTTACAGTTGTGGGGATCGCAGGAAACCTTCTGGTAATCTTTATCATCTTGCGCTTCCCCTCAATGCGAACGGTCTCCAACGTTTACCTCTTCAGTATCGCGTTCTCGGACCTGAACCTTCTCATGGTGGCCCCGATTTTGATCCAGTTCTACCGGCACGGGCGGTGGACCTTAGGGCCGGGCTCGTGCGAAGCAGAGTCGTGTATAAAATTCACCAGTATGTTCGCCAGTTTCTTTCTCGTCAGCGCCTTCAACCTCCAGCGCTACCGAGCTATCGCCCGCCCCATAGAAACTCGACAGCGACAGAGTTTGAAACGGGCTGCTTTAGTTTGCTTCAGTATTTTTCTCTTGGCCCTTGTCGCAAATCTTCCATTCTGTGTGACGTCCTACGTAGTGGATGAAGTAGTGGACAATAAAAACGTGTCGGTTTGCCGCTACTTCTGGCCGGACTGGAGCAACATCCCAGAACAATCGGAGCGGGCCCACCGGCTGTACCTCACCAGTCTGGGCTTCCTACTGCCCCTCTGCCTGAACTTCACCTTGTACCTCCTCATCATTCGCAAGCTCCACAGCCAGGACGTAAGTAGGAATTCTTACAGCCATTCTCTTCCTCGCAACTCGTTAATGTTTAGGGTTTTATGAGACCAGCAGAAACAGAGTATTTCAAACAGTTGCCACAAATTCCATATCCTTCTACGAATTAAAAGATCACCAAAAGTCTACGTTTCTGCTAAGATCACAAAACCCACTCATTACACAGAACGTGGGACTACAATGTATATTCATTATCCCGTGCCTTAAAAAAGAAGTCAAACCTCATAATAGCAAACGTAGTATAGTAGTAGTAGTATAAGGTGACCAGACACTAGTTGTATGTCTCCTATTGCTTTACTTTGCTTTCTTTGACTGTGTACAAGCAATTAGCTGAAATCTAGTTGAATTTTATTCTAACATACGGTCAGGTTGTTTCTTTATTTGTTATATACGATTTGAAAATACTGAAATACAAATAGATAATGATAATATGAATATGAATCATAGAACGAAGAAAATCTGCGGCCCTTTTCACTAGCGTTTTACCTGCCCATGCTATCAGGCTTTTCGTTCTGCTGCGGTGGGAAAACATGTGAAAGACTCTACAACCGTGACTAAAATGGCGGTGATGGTGACGTCATCGTTCGTGATCTGTGTGGGTCCGTTTCACATGTACAACTTCGTCAGCGCAGTATCAGACATACACATATCCGAGTATGTAGGTACGTGAAACTATGAGCAAGCACATACGCTAAGCTTGTAGTTAGTATGTGCAAAGATGTATAGCGGATCTTACAACCCAAAACATCTGGCAGTTATCTAAAATGGATAGCATAGACCGCATACACTGGATATTGTTCTATTGAATCACATGACTTAAAATCGTGTGCTAAGTATTGGTCTTAAATTATAATTTTCACGTGAAAGTACAATCAAATATCAAGACGTAGTTGCAATAATTATATCAGCAAATCCGTAGAAACGTCATCATACGATTTTCTGTTGTTGTTAAAGTTATTTCGCAGTAATCATACAGTTAACGTTCATTTTCTGTTGTTGTTTAAGTTACTTGGCAGTAATCAATTATTTTCTCTTGTTGTTGAAGTTACTTGGCAGTAATCATACAGTGAACGTTAATTTTCTGTTGTTGTTTAAGTTACTTGGCAGTAATCAATTATTTTCTCTTGTTGTTGAAGTTACTTGGCAGTAATCATACAGTGAACGTTCATTTTCTGTTGTTGTTTCAGTTACTTGGCAGTAATCAATTATTTTCTCTTGTTGTTGAAGTCAGTTGGCAGTAATCATACAGTGAACGTTAACTTTCTGTTGTTGTTTAAGTTACTTGGCAGTAATCATCTGGATAATTTCCTGTTGTTGTTGAAGTTATTTGGCAGTAACAGTTAATTTTCTATTGTTCTTGTTGTTTTCCCCAGGTATGTGGACCTGTGTGCTAACCTTTGGGAACAGTGCCCTGGACCCCGTCATCTACGCACTCATGGGGACCAACTTTCAGGGCTGCCTCAAACAGCTCTTCTGTCGGCGGCCTCTGCCTACTGACACACAGACGCACCTCAATGATTCAAACGTTCTTCGTGAAAATGTTTCTTCTCCCTGAGGCCATGTTGATTTGATTATATGGATGACATCCGCGCGCGCATGAATTTTCGGCCGTTTCCAATAAAAAAAAAGTTTTCAACCATACTGTAAATCGTGCAAAACAGTTGCAAAATGAGCAAAAATATACCATAAGTTGCAAGGAAAACATTTAGAAATGATACCAATGTCGTAGACTGCCAGAATCAAAGGAAAAAAGACAAAAATGTAAAGAAATGAATTCGAAGAGTAGATTATTCGCCATAAAATATTCTGTGCCATTTGTTCAACCTTCATGACCACGTAGATTTCATAGTGAAAGCAACTTTTTTTTTTTTTTCAAAACTTTTTTTTTTATTCGCACGCGCGCATCAGTTTTGGGGTTCCCAGAGGATGTCATCCATATAATCAAATCAACATGGCCTAAGTAAAGAGTCAAGAGAAAATGTCATGCTGACAGTTTCTTCCCCAGAACCACTTCACTGTGGAACAAGCTTCCCCGTGAATGTTTCACCGCTAA